TTACAAGAGAACACCTGAAGGGTATTTGAAAGTGCACAGCTGAAAAGAGAAACCTTTTCATACTGGGTCAGCACACTGCCCTGAGCCCTGCAAGAAACAAAAATGCCAATAACTTGCAACACACAGAGGAAGAGAGCAGCTCCCTACATAGTTTCCTCCCTAAGCAGGTCTAGTGTTTCAGTTCATTTTGCTTGCAAGCAGTGTTGGTAATTCTTAAAGGATTACATAAAGTATCTGAACTCTCTGCTGTAGTTCGTGGAGGGGAAGATTCTGCTGCTTGCAGCAAACAGTATGGACCACAAATGTTTCTTGTATGTTTGTCTCTGCATATATTTGAAAGAGGGGGGCACTGACTTCATCTTAGTTTTCAGCACTAGGTCACTTGTATTGTTACAGGGGCATGGTGACTTTTTAATATCACACCCTTTGTGGACTGCTTAAATATTCCTGTTTTAAGAAAGCCGTTCCCTTCCTGGAGGTGTGAGGGTGTGGTGTGTGCTCCAGCCCAGCTTCCAGCACGTGGGGAAAATGAAACTTAACAGTATTCAGGTTGGTGGAAGTTTGACATTTCATTAATGCTAGTTGTTAGCAATTAATGGGGTAGGGGCTTGGGTCTGAACTGCAGGAAATGTCCCGTTGTGCTGGCTGACACAGGTACTCCTCTGCACGAGCGGTGCGCAGGCACGGCAGCTGCATTGGCGTGAGGAGCGATGGCTGCACGGCCAGGCAGGTGTGTCCCCACTGTCGCTGACTTTGTTGGAGGCAGCGGTTCGCTCTGGCAGTGTCAGTGTACGTGGTCATGTCAGTCTGACATTGGTGGTCCTGTGTTTTCATGCTGGCAAACACTACGTCTTGACCAGACGTTTAGGACAAAAATCCAAACCTAAGGTTTAATCACACGGTTTGTTTAATGTATTACACCAAAACCAACTTCAGTTCTCTTTTGCAAAGTGGGTTGTGATTTTTTTTTTTTTTGGTCTATTTATGTGCAATTTTTGTTGTATCCCATGAAAAGAATATTTTAAAGAAAATGTTTATAAGTTAAAGCGAAGAGGCAATTGTCTTTCCTCTCTGGGGCATTTGTGTTGGAGGATGTGGGAGGAATCCATCCGAGTGTTTCGTGCTTGCTGGTGTTCAGATATTGACTCCATTGTGTCAAGATCAAGGCGCACGGGCACTCAGGAGTCCCTGATGGCATTGTGGTGATGGGGGCAAAACAGCCGGGGTTTGGGTCTTCCCCTGGTGAAGGGGGAGGCTTTCTGAAAGGCCCTGACCTCAGTGGCCTGTTTAAAATAAAGCAGAGACAACTTTTGATAGTGCCGAGAACACCTCTTCTTGGTAGTGTCACGATGGCAAATGGTATTTTTATCCTGTTAATGGCTATAAATGGTTCTTTGAAAAAATGTTTTAGAAACAGAGGACTTCTAAGGTGAATTTGGACATCTAAAAAAATGCTTTTGTATAGATAATGTGATGTTTTACAAAGTGATCTAATTTTGTTTTTTCTGAAAACAGTGTAAACGTGTAATTAATAGAGTAAAGGATTTTAAAGCTTCATCCCATGCTGTATGTCTGTAAATACATTCCATAATTTCTAAGTCTGTTACATATAAATGTGTCTGAATATTGTATACTTTATTTTAAATTGCCTGTATTCTGCCAGTAGTGTGAACTTCTAGCACATTGATAATATAAAAGGAAAGCGGGGTAATTTGAAATAAAGTTTTAAAGCTTACATGAATTGCAGTATTGGTTCCTGCTGGTTTTCTTTTGCATCAGTGAATGTCACATCCTCTGTGTCGGGTGTTTATTCCCCTTCCACGTTGTCACAGTTGGCAGTTAATGGACCCAGTTTGTATCTCTAGTTTTCACAGTTCATCAGGATAGAAAAATTCCAGCTTTTTTACACACGTTCTGCAGCCGCATCAGAAGCTTTTTCTTGGGGATATTTTTAACCTTCCCCAGACACTGAGAAGTGATTTTGTACAGAATCCTCTGCTCTTCCCTCCCCACCCCGCCTTTTTTTTCCTTCTCAAAGTACAACGTACATTCTAGATCTGGGGAGTTTGCTGCTGCCAGTGCTGGGGCTCCTTGTCATTTGTGTGTTTTGCTTGGTTTTATCCTGTCTTGGGTTCGATCTGTAAAATTTGCACCCCCACTTTATGCCCCTGCAGCATTTGAAAGGTTTCATCTTATTAGCCAAAATGTTTACTCCTCTTTTCTTCCCTCCTCATAGCTAGTTTTTATTATAGAAAAAAGAAAACAAAACCCACACCTAGAAATTGCTGGAGATCCACAAACCTTCCATACGTCATGCACGCTGCGTACCCCTGTGGTGCTGTTCCCTGCTGACCCAGCTGCTGCAGCATCCTTGGTTTACTGCCTGGTGACACCGTTCGTCACTTGGGACATCTCCATTCCTGCCTCGGTGAGGGCTGCCCAGCTCTCTCGGGTTCATTTCTCCCCTTCTGTCTAAAGTTTCCTCCTGACCAGCTTCTCAGCCTCCAGCCTCTGTTCTCCATCTACCTCTCTGGAAACCAGTTTCTCCAAAGGGCTTGTGATCTCTAGTTCTCCCTGCAGAAGATGTCCCGGGTGTGTGCTTTGATCCCGTCTCTCCATAGCTGGAAAAAAAGAGAAGTGCCGACCCTGGCAAAGTTCCTCAAAACTGCCGGGTTTTGGGACACTGCTCTCTGCTCCCGTCGCTGGATGTGCTCGGAGCTGGACGGTTTCTGACTGAGCGAGGTAAGGCTGGTAGGGAGGAAGGCCGGGGGCAGCTGGGTGGGTGGGTGGGTGGCAGCGTGGCCGCAGTCCCCAGGTGCACACCTGCTGTTCTCAGCCGGGAGAGGTCAGCTCGCGGGGGTTCACTCAGGTTAAAAACCTTGTCTCCATCACACTGTCATCCAGAGGCCAGGATGCTCATGTTGGGACTGAAGATTTCAGCACCCTCCCCACCTTGCTGGAATAGCAAACCCAATTCTGCTGTTGCTTTTTTATTATTTCATTTTGGAAATAAAAAGTAGCCCTTCCCCTATGCACACAGACACAGCTTCCCGATTTTGGAAGCAGACGTTGCTGTGCCTGTGCAGTTTATGGTTCTGGATTATTTTGTTGTTTTTTCTCTGAGATACTGGTCACTGAATTTAAAGTTTTGAATTATTCCATGATCCAACACAGTGTGTTAACTTCCTGCTGGCTTGTTCACTCGAGGGACTCGATGTACCATAACAACAAGTGCTGTTACACTGGCATCGGGAACGGGGGGTTGAAGGGGAGCCCAGCCTGGGCAACATCCCTGGATGCGGAGGATGTTTTGGAATTATGTTATATATTGTTCTCTGCTGAGAAGCAAGCAAAGCCCAGCTGCTGCCATGCTTCAGTTGTTTGGTTGTATCACTAACATGTGCCTCAAGTAATAAAAACCGTGGCCGTAATAAACTCTTGCCCCTCCATCCTATCCCACTTCTTCCTTTGCTCAAAACCTCTGAAGAGTTTGTGATCAAACTTCATTCCTTCCACCTGAACCTGTCACCTGTTAACGCCCCCCACACATGGAGAATACTAGTCCTGAGGGAAACGGATGAAGTCAGCAGCACACGAAAAAGAAGAGTTAAAATTAGGAACAGAATTCCTGTGGCTGCTGGGTGGTGCCTCCCGCAACAAGGAGCCGAGGAGCCGTGGTGCAGGCGTGGGGTGTGAGCACAGTCCTGGCTCAGCTCCTGCCATCGCACGGGAGCGATCCCTGTTCTCACCAACACGTGGGGACCACGGAAAGCGAGCGAGTGTGTTCATGGTGCTGGTGCTGGAACAGGAACACGTTCTGGTTTCAAGTAAGCAGCAGTGCTCCAGCAGTCATACCAACACTTCCAACGCGAGTTTGTCTGGAGCGTCTGGAATTGCAGTGTTCCCTTGGCAGTTGATGCTGCCTGAGAGTCGGGCACCAGCCCCTCTCCTCCCATTTAGAGAGTTCTGAGCCAAAGGCTGCTCACCATTGCAGTCATCTCACTTCACAGGTTTTGGCACAGTGCAGTTCAGACAGGAGGGTTTTGGATGCGGCCAGCACGGGCTGGTCACAGAGAGCACGGCAGACTTGGCATGGTCTGAGCTCGCTGCCCTGCGTGGGAGTGTCGGAAAGCAGCCAGCTCCACAGCAGGGCTCGTTCTGCTTTGTGCACAGACCTGTGTGTGACCGACAGCTGTGCTAGGAGCGAGGGCTCCTTTCTTGGTTAAAAAAGCAGCACACTGCGCTCCCAGCAGCACCGCTCCCTGCCTGCTGCCCATCCCGCCGCGCAGCGACGGTGGCCGGGGTGGCGGGGCTGGCTGGGAC